AAAAAAAAAAAAAAAAAAAAAAAAAAAAAAAAAAAAAAAAAAAAAAAAAAAAAAAAAAAAAAGAAAAACAAACAAAAAACATAAAAAAGCCAAGATTACAAAGGAAAGATGAAGGCATTCCAACTAAAACCTAAATCCTCAATTGAATAAATAGTGAAGTATTTGGAAACAGAGCACCAGGATGAAACTTTAAGATGACCCGACCCAAAACAATCAGACCATGGAAGAAGCTTGTTACAAAGTCCTCTGATTTCTTTCAAACCAAATTTCAGATAAAAGTGCTTTCACCGCATTAGACAATATAACCTTAGATTTTGATGACAATGAAGGACCAACAAGCACTTGAATAACGTTCTCCTGGAAAGTGTTGAAGAAAACCCACTGAAGAACTTCTGACAATTAAAGAATAAATGCTGCAAAGTATTCACATCTGACAGACTGAGAAAATGGAAGAAGACAAGTAAAGCGAAGGGAGCTTCCTCTGAAGAACTTCAAAACAATTTAGAGAATCATTAAACATAGCCCAAATAAGAATATTAAATCTTTTGGGGGTTTTAGATTTCCTTCCTTAGCCTTCTTATACATAGGGGAACAGAAGGCCAGATGCGTAGAGAGTGAAATCACCAAAAACTCCCCTGAAGGCTCAAGTAACTCCTGGAACCCAAAGAAGAAACCACCTTTCCATCTGAAGTACAACTAAAAAACAATTGGAAATCCAGAATTTCCTCATCTTTAAGAAATCTTCGAAAACTATGGTCCAATTACATCCCAATGATCAAAAACTGAACCATTGGAGAATCCAACAGTGTTAAAAGGCCGAGGGAACCGAGACATCAGAGAAGAATTCTATGGTCTTGCACAAATAAAAATTCTTCTACCACTACCTTTCTTGAAAGCTGCAAAAAATTGCATTCTTCCAGACTTGCGAAATGCTAATCCAAGGGCTGCTAAGACTCATTATACTTTTGCCAGATGTGTGTCAATGAAATAAAGAACGCCCACAAATACTTGGAACAATTAGCGCCAAAAAGAATCCAATTCCTGCATGAATCTCCAACCCAACTTAGCAAAGAGAGCCAAATTCATATGTTTTAATCCACCAAAATCGAGACCCCCCACAAGCTGTGCTTTTGAGACCAAATTCTATCAAGAAATTACATCTCTGAAGGGCTTCAGCGTCTAGAACTTCAATTATAAATCTAGAGGACCAAACAAATAAGCAATGAAATGTAGAAAAATGACAATAAGAAGAAATAAGCAAAACAAAATATGCTGAAGGTTGATAACGAAGCTTAAGTAAATGTGCCAAATGTAACATGAAGATAAAGTGTGAACAAATATTCAAATGAAGATAGAAAAGGATTCCAAAATATGCTCAAGAATGATCAAGAAGTTCAATTAAATGCATGCCTCTTTTCTTTGGAGGGCACCTTGCTTGCAAGCCTAGCTGTTTGTACAGCAGCATCAGCTGATGCTGCTTCAGGAGTTGCTCGCAGAATCTCACAAATGAGTTGCTGACATTCACTCTGTTTCATAGACGATGAATCGTGAGTATATAACTTTAGAAACCAAGTATTTATTTTGTAGAGATACCACCAACCACATGCTTCACTCCCCTTCAAATTTGAGGGTTCTCTATTAACCATCTAACAGCTCCTTCACCCCTCTTTAAAGTTGAGAGTTCTCTATTCACCATCTAACAGCTTCTGTTAGTGAAGATTCTTTCCTATCTCAACTATACAAAATATTAGAATAAATACACGTGCAACTTTTATAAAGGAAAGGATATAATACCCTAAACAAAATCTTATAACATACATAAAAGAATATAAAAGATAAAATAAAATAAGAAATAAGAAATAAAAACCTAGAATACAAAGTACAAGATTATCCTAACTTTGACCATAAATTGAAACACTGCCCTGAAGGTGGGTTGTACATATTATACAATCCCAACTTGCTATTCAAATCTCCAAAGATTGATCTTGGTAAAGGCTTAGTAAGAATATCTGCAACTGTTGTTTAGTAGGCACATAGATGAGTATGGTAGGCTCATAGTTGAGCCGAACAACTTCAATATATTTTGTCCTATCATGATGAACTAGAATATTTGTCATTCTTATTGCAACTTGATCATCACACATCATTTATATTGGTGATGAACAATGTTTACCTAATTCCCTTGGGACTCTCTTGATCCATATACTTCTACATTTGACATGAGAAAGTGTTCTAAATTTAGCTTTTGCACTACTTCTTGCAACCACAAATTAGTTTTTGCTTCTTTTCATGTAACAAGATTATCCCATACAAAAGAACAATAGACTGAGGTAAATCTTCAATCTGTAACATAACATGTTCAATCTGCATAAGAATATACCTCAATGTTTGTCTTGTCAGTTTTTTTTTTTTTAAAAAATAGTCCTTACGTTGAACTGGCTAACCATGCTGATAGTATATCCAATATTTATACATGTATGAGCAAGATAGATAATTCATCTTACAAGATGTTGATATCTCCACATATCCATAGGTGTGCTCTAATGGATGAATCCAATGTTCATTAGGGAGTCCATAGAAGAGTCATCTGGTTTACATCCTAACATGTCAATCTCTTTCTCAAAGATCCAACATGTAGTTCCTTTGGGATACAACTATACACTTCTTCCCACCGAGCAACCTCCAGACCAAAAAATTATTTGAGATTTCCTAGATATTTAACTTCGAATTCTTGGGCCAAGTGATTCTTCAGCATTTACAATTCTAATTCACTATGTCTAGAAAGAATGATATAATCAACATATACTATTGAGAGGGCAGGTAAATATATAGATATATCCAAGACTGATAACAAAATTTTCAAAACCACCAAACAAAGCATGAAAAAATTGCTAAAGTCCATAGACAAAATTTTACGTTTGCATACCCTTGTTGGATTAATATTCTCTTTACATCCAGGATGAATATCCATGTCTACTTATTGATCACCATTCAAAAAAACATTTCCAAAATCTAACTGTTGGAAACCCCAATCAAGATTGGCTGCTAGAGATAAAATAATTCTTATGATATTGACTGTCACTCACTTTCTTCCCATAACAATCAGTTTTGGAATAGTATGGAAGATGTTCAATGAACGTGACATCCATCGGAACATATACCTGTTTTTTGATAAGAGAGTAGTATTTGTAGCTCCCCAAGAAAATGCATTTATGGATGATCCAATTTATATAATGTTGGGAATGGATGTGGACAAAAGCACTGCACTTGAAAACATTAGGGACCACAAAAAGAGACTGGACATGAAGATGGGAAAATGATTGAATGAAGACTTGACCAGGAGTGGAGAATCTAAGAACACAAGAAGGAACACAAGAGGGAATGACTTCATCCAAGAAAATTAAGGAGCATGAGTAGAGAACATCAAGCATCGAGTGAATTCAAGTAGATGACAATTCTTGCGTTCAACTACTCCATTCTTTTGGAGTGTCAACACAAGAGATAAGGTGGAGAATCCCTTGTGCAACCATTGTTGCACACTGTATTGTGTGTTTATTTGTTCTTAAAACTATAAGGAGCTACATTAGCTACATAGGCCCTACCATCTCAATCATTGTGGTTTCCAATCAACAGGCTTCCCAGGGATCTTCCAGCATGTTTCCTTGATAGCGTCTCAAATCTTACGAGTTGTTCACAAGAGAATAAAACTTTCACCTATCTCATTGGTCATGAAATTAATTAACTACGACATGACTGTTATTTCTACTTTCCACTTCCTGAATTCCAAAGCAATTGGTGCAGTTGCAATTTGTTTAGGCAGATGGGAGCTACAACAAGCGATGGAGGTAAAGACAACACCAACGAAAAGTTATAAAAAAATCTAGAGTTTATTGGTGCTCTCATAGCATGAAAATTTTAGTATTTTCATTCAAATTTCAAACTATACCAAGATCATAATAAATACAAGGCATAACAACTATCATAAACGGGAACAATAGTCAAATCTAAACAAAAATCTTAAAACATACCTAAATAAGGAGATAAAATCCTAAAATACAAAATACAAGTTTGCCCTAAATCTGACCATAAACTAAAACAATTAAATGGTTAATGGAGAACCTTCAACTTTAAAGGGGGAGAGGCACACGTGGGTGGATGTTGATAAATTCACAACTATGTGAACTTATACAATTCATGCCCTGAATTGTCGTACTCAATGCAAATTCTTATGTAATTACTCAACTTACACCATCAACCTAGACGGGAGGATTTTTGTTTGACCCATATACTTCTTTGGAGAAGGTCATCATGTACCTTTGTTTGACCCATATACTTCTTTGGAGAATATCACCTTGTTCCTTTGTCCGTCTAGGTCGATTGGTGTTGGCTCTGGCCTTTTTTTCCCTTAATTTACAATTTCACTTTGTTTTTTTAAAGAAGGAGAGAGGGAGTGACAGAAAAGGAGAGTAAAGTTACAGGAATACCTGCAAAACTGTGAAGGCAAAGCCTATAGTATAACCTCCAGTGACTTGAGATGCTTCAGAGTCCGGATTCCAATTATCATCAGTTGGCATTGACCTTGGTGTATTCATATCTGCATGTCGCGAGGCTTTTGCTTCCAGAAGCTCCCCAACAACAACATGGTTCTCTGCATGATCACTGTTGAAAGTTAAAACTAAGCATTATAGGGAGAAGGAAAGACAAAAATATGAAAAATGTTTCCTGACCAAATATACGAACAACAGTTTCCAAAACAGAATCAAGAAGATCTCTTGCAGAAGTCTGTGCTTTTCCCATAGGAGCCATCACTGGTGAAACAGGGCTCACTGCAACCAATGTCCCAGAGAGTGGAATGCCATTCTGGCACTTATGTTTTGGGAAATGGAAGCTTCCTAACTGCCCCTTCATAAAATGAGCAGCAGTCTCAGATCGAACAGCCTGACCAAAGCCTAACCTTGAAGAATTTATTTGTTCTGCATAAGCTTTGATTTTGGAAGTTATTATATCATGGATCGTAGGTCGCAATCTTTGGCTGTCATATAAGAAAAAAATTAAAGCTGATATATCAAACAAATTGGAATCATACAAAAACGGATTTAGTGCTTTTGCAGGCACAATACATTAAATCATGTAAAAGAAATAAAAGCCTTAATTAAAACAAACAAGCTCTGGAGAAAGAGTAAGAATATGCCTTGAAGCAATAGACTCGAAGCGATTTCCGAAAGATTAAGATTCTAGAAAATGTAGCTCTTAAAAAATTGCAAAATGAACGTTCATCTAAAGGATAGATCGAAACAATTTTACCATATTAAAATTCTCTTGTCCTGAATTATATCCCAACTTTAATCCTGCCAACTAGTACCCAATTATACTAGCTGTACAGTAAACAGTAAACGAGTTAGTAATAAATTAGGCAACCAGATGGAGAATTACATAAAAAAATAAAGTTCTTTTTATTACTGATAAGAGGCAAATAGTACAAGCAGAGGAAGCTTATATTAGAGCACTGGCAGTTTGCTTGAATCTAAGTAAAAGGACAATTACAAAATAATTTTGATATGAAAGCCCATGGAGCCGTAAACTAGTTAACAAGTTGACATATTCCTTTGATTAAAGGAGTGCTCTATGCCACAAAAAGACATGCCTGTTTCTTTCTAGCCAAATAGCGCCAATAGAAAGGAGCCACAAAGTACGTGGACATAGCAGCCTTAAAGTCTCCATGCTAGATCCAAGGAATGTTGAAATTTTTGTAGTAGGAAGACAAAAACTGGGAAGCGAATGGGCAGGATATGAACAAGTGCTTCGTATCTTCCCAACTACGCTTGGAAAAGGAGCACCAAATGGGATAGAGAGCTCTAGTGAGATTTTTCTTTTGAAGTTTATATGCGGTGTTGATAGCACCCAACAAAAAAGACCAGAGGAAAGCTTTACACTTTCTGGGGGAGCTTTGCAGTCCAGAAAGTCCTGCAAAAGTGGGGAAGAGATTGTTCATTAGTTGAGAGTTCCACCAAAGATTTGACAGAGAAATGTCATCTCTCTAGAATCCAAGCAAGGTGGTCAGGTTAGGGCCTGTTTCTCTGAAGGATGGCGGTAAAAGTGTTCCAGTCATCTGCATCTCTGCCTCTAATATGCCTTCTTAAGGAAACTCACAAGTGTTGATGTCCTAGTGACAGGATAATGCAAGAGTCTAGGGAATTTGAGATCAAGGTAGCCAGAGCCCAACCAAAAATCACGCGATAAATAAGATTTAGAACCATCCCTTGATTTCATTACCATTAGACTATCGAAAGTGATCTACCTTTACTTTTTTCTTCTTTGTCACTTGATTGGCTTCAATTGTCTGATTAAGAACTCTTGTAATCCTATGGCGGAAAAAAATGTTTGACATTTTTTAATTTAAAACTAGCATCAACATTGAAGAAACAGCCACGGTGTTGGGCATCAATAACTAAATATTCCCAAACCGAACTATTATATGATAGTGTTTTGAAGTTCCATATCCATGAACAGTATCTAGTTCTCGTAAGGGTGACATTTGCTCTTAGATTACTCCAGAAAAACCTGATCGACAATCCTCTATTTGATTTGGCTATAGAAAAAATAATAACGGTAACTTTCCCCCCACCTTAAACCCATCAACTAACTCACCTTGACTGTAAATCCATTAGAATCATATTTCCACCCAATTTTCTGTTGAACGGCAACTACTTGAGCTGTATAGGGGGAGACCACAACAAGGCTGACATTTGAGTGAAGACACCCTTTGGTCGAAGTATGAACAATTTTGAACACACGACTAAGGTTGGGCAGAATGTAATGGCAGTTATGAACTTTTTCCAAGAGAACTGAGCCGGAGTTATGGAACTGCCAAAGCCATGTGGTGAGGAGAGCTCTATTTTTATTGTCAGTCGTAGATAGAAATGAGTTGAAGAGTTAAATGCTCACCATGTGATAGATTAAAATACTCCTATCTATCAAGCTTCTTGAGAATTTTATTCATCACAGGTTGCCAAAAGGATGATGACTTAGGATGACCACCTAAAGGAAGACCGAGATAAAGAAAAGGTAGACTTTTCACCTTATAGTTAAGACTCTTTTATAATAATTTAAGAGGCCTTTGATAACTTAAGAGAGCCTTTTTATATCCCCAAGGGGCTTCCCTTTTTTAATATTCGTGTTGATATTTCTACATATTAAAATAAAAAAACCAAACTCCTGAGAAAAGATTTGCAATAATAGCAATAGTAGGATTTCTTTCACATGCTGTTAATGCAAAAGCATCAAATTCAAGATTTGACAAGAAACAAACCATATGATAGCACCAGCAGCAGCAACTTTGCCAAGCATACACAGACACTCAATCATGGTCTGCAAATACTTCACATGAAGCGGAGCATCAAGCTTCTTTATTGTTTCCTACACCAAAAGTTGATAGAAATTCAGCCACAGAGTCGAGGGAAAAGTTAAAGGATCAAACTGTAAGCCGACAAGAAAGCTCTTATCCTTTTTCCAAATGATAAGATAATAAATATTTCATACTAGAAATTCATCTGGAATGGAATTTGAAAGCCATTTTGGCAATTGATGTGTAGTCGGTTTCGCCTCCTTCAACCCACCATCTCCACCATTGACCCTTGCAAAAGTTGACTGACTGTCTGAGGCATCATCATTTAAATCCGAAATACTACCTTCCTCGTGGCCATCAAACGATGACCTGGAAACAAGGCAAGACAAAATAAATGAAAATAACATCATTCTTTCATGGATAGCAACATTTAATTCAGAAAATTAATGTTGCATTATAATGATAGGGGCACATATTAATGATCTTTGTTCATCTAAATGCAATTTTACAATCCTAAAAAAGTTCAATAAATGATATTGTGTTAGAAAACCCAAGATTGAAGGATAGATTGCTTGGTCTATGGAATGGCAGACAAGAGACCAGTCTTTGCATATGATGATGTGAAAGAAGGCCCTAACGATAATGTTGCAAGCCTAAATTATCTTGCTACACTTCATTATTATTTCATAGTGGTCCATGCCCCCTTTATAAATCAAAAGGTTAACTAAAACCCTAGATACTAGGTACAATAAATCTAAATAAATCTCTAAATACTACTCTCCTTATTTAATGAGATTACACAAGTATCTCTCAATTTAAGGCTAGGAATTACTCAAATAATCATTAAATCAAGGTTATTCCTTCAACACTCTCCCTCCTCATGCTGAGGAATAGATATCATTCATTCCCAACTTGAATACTAATGCATGAAACATTGAGCCGTGAAGTCCTTTTGTTAGTATATCTACTAGTTGAAGCTATGAGGGCAATAACTAATGCACACCATCCACTTATCGAGTTTCTCCTTGATAAAATGTCGATCAAGCTTAATATATGTTATTATATCATGTTGAATAGGATAATGTGCAATATTGATAGTTGATTCCCTTAATTTGTAAGTTATCAAGGATTATCTTCAACCATAAGAGATCACATAGACCTTATGCAATAGCTCAAAATTCTGATTCGGTAAATGAAATAGCCACCACATTTTGTTTTTTACTCCATGATATCAAATTACCTCAAAGAAATGTATAATACCTCCGTAGTAGATCTTTTATCCAATACCAATCCAACATATTCAGTCTCGGTGTAAGCTTCCAATGCAAGGAAATTGTTTCATTTGAACAAAAATCCTTTTTTTGAAGTAACACTCTATACTTTGCCTGAAGAGGCTTCTAGAGATCATGCTTGAATTGGCTAATTACACGCATTGAGTATGTTATGTCTGGTCGAGAATGACTTAGATAATATAAGCTTCCCCAATACCCTCTGGTACATTTCTCTGTTCGCTGCAGGTTCCTCTTTTTTACTCTCCCAATTTCTAATGTGGATCCATTTGCATTGGTGAAAGTTTACATCCACATTTCCCTATTTCCATAAATAAATGCATCACATATTTTTGTTGTGATATGAAAATGTCTTGAGCGGAGTATGCTACTTCAAAACGAGAAAGTACTTTAGTCTTCCAAGTTCTCTTATTTCACATTCTTTCATTAATTTCCTTCTAAGTTCAATTTTTTCTTCTTCATTTCATTATCTACAGTGACAATGATGTCATCTACATACACTAGAAGCAATGTAATTCTCCTTGATTTTGACTGCTTGATAAAGAGAGTGTGATCTCCTTGACTTTGCTTATACCCATAGCTTTTCATTACCTATGTGAATCTTCCAAACCATACTTGTAGTGATTGTATTAGTTCATACAAAGTCTTTCTTAATTTGCATACTTTCCCTCTTGAGCCTTCAAATCTTAGAATACTTTTGACCCGTCAAATTCGAGAGGAATGTTCATGTAGATTTCTTCATTTAGATCATCGTAAAGGAATGCATTCTTCAGATCATACGGTGAGAGCTGTCAATTTAAGTTGGTAGTCAAGGACAACAATATTCTTGCGGTATTCATTTTTGCAACTGGGGCAAATGTCTCTAGGTAATCTATGTCATAAGTTCGAGTGTATCCCTTATCTACTCACCTTGCCTTATACTTTTCCAACGTTCCATCGACCTTATACTTCACTATAAAAAGCCACCTAAACCCAACTATATTTTTTACTTTTGGCTTATCCATGACTTCCCACGAGTTATTCTTTTCTAAAGCATGCATTTCTTCCCTCATAGCATTCTGCCATTCTTTTTTGGACAAAGCTTTAGAAATTGTATAGTTATAACAATTAAATTTAGACTAAATAAAACTTTTGTGTGAAGGGGATGGTATTCCAAGAGAGATATAGTTTGATAAAGGGTATAAGAGTCTTTTGTACATTCTCTAGTGGGTTTTCAAGGAGCTATGAGTCTATCATCTATTAGTACGTGTTGCATCTTCAATTTCAATGGAGTCAGATGTTTGGACTTGCATTGATTCTTAACTAACTTTCCTTCTAACATATATTTAAGAGAATAATGGATTTGACAATGGAGGTGGTACATATGGTTCAGTTGGTAACTCTATGGTAGCTCTATGGTAGTATGAGTGGACACATAATTAAAATCGATAGCAGGCTTGGACTCAATACTTGGTTCTATGTGTTAGTTATTTAGTGTGTCTAGCGGTTAAATAGTTTCCCAATGACTTCAATTTCTATGTTCTCCTCCGGAAGAGAGGGTTTAGAGAAGAATGGTTTATGCTTGGTGAATGTCACTTAAAGTGTAAGACTTCCTAGTTGTAGGGTTGTAACATTTGTACCCCTTGACGTCGAAGAACATTCTAAAAATACAGATTTTATTGTTCTTGGATCAAGTTTACTTCTCTAAGTGTTGTGAACATGAACAAAGGCGGTGCACCCAAATATGCAAGGTGTGAGGTCATTTGATAGTTGAAAGTGAGGATAAAGTCAGTTAAGGACTTCTATTAGGCTTAGATTATTCAGGACACAAGGTGGGAAACGATTAATCATGTGAGATGCAATAAAAAATGTCTTCTCCCCACTGAGATTTTGGCATGTTTCCAAGAAAAAAGTAATGAGCGGGTAGTGTTTAAATGGTATCCAATTTTCCTTTTGACCACTCCATTTTTCTGTGGTGTAATAACACACCAAGAATTATGGATAATGTCTTGAGATCGAAAATATAAGGATAAGGTTTTATTAAGTAATATCTAGCATTGTCAGGACGAAATGTTTTGATATTGACTCTAAATTGGGTCTAAATCATTGATTGGAAGGCAAGAATAATATTACTGACATCTGATTGTTGTTTGAGTGCAATCATCGATTAATGATAGAAACCAATGAGCACCTGAAGATATTTGGAACCTTTGAGGGTCCCGTATATCACTATAAATCAAATGAAAAGGAGTAGAATTTTTGTTTTGACTAATGGAAAAAGATACACGATTGGAAAATTTGCATGCATCACAATGAAAACCAGAAACTTGGAATCCTTGAAACAAATCTGGAAACATAATTCTCAAAACTCGAAAGGAGGGATGACCAATGAGAAAGCGATGTAATCAAATCACTTCTTTATTAGAGGAGCTAAAAAATGACACAGATGCAGAGCTAGTTGTTCTCTCGGGTAATTGTAAGCAATATAGGCCATTCAATTCCTTACCAAGTCTAATCGTCCATTTCGAGGCCTGATCTCGAAAAACACAATATGACAAGGAGAAAATAACACCACAATGGCTGTCATGGGTAAGCTTTAGTATGGAAATGAGAATATTAGATAGTTTTGGACGTGTAGGACGTTTTTTAGTATAAGGGATCAAGAAATGAATATATCGCTTATTCCTGCAATGGTGGCACAGGTTTTTTGTCATGGTAAGTTCTCGATTACCCGGGCACAATTTATATGTTTTAAAATATAGCAAGTGAGGGGTCATGTGATCAATTGTACCGAAATCTATAATCCAAGAATTAACCTAACTCATCTCTTAAGCATTTATATAAGTGAGGGGTCATGTGACATTTCTCCTTCGTTTTCCGAACAACGATTCTGGAGCCTCCCCAATTTCCCCATTCATGGCTAGGAGGTTCCCGTTCAATTTTCAACAACTCTCCTTCGTGTGTTGTGGTTTCTTGTCATGAGTATACCATAAATTGTCTTTGTTACTCTTCCATCGGTAGTTTCTTTTGTTGTTTCTATATTTCTCTACGACAACAATCGGTACTTCTAAACTGAGTTATTTATTCAAGCATAAGGCACCGTTTGCTCTCTCCTGCTCAAATAAGGGAAATTGTTTCTTCTAGAGATGGTGTTTCCTCTTTTCCAACGATTTGTACACAACTTGGTTAAATTCGTTGTTAAAGACATGCCGAAAAATCATAAACATGATTTGCTTCAAAAAAAAAAAAAAAAAGTTTTAGAATTATCGACAGAGCAATTCATCTTAAATGCCTGATAATAATCGAGTTCCTGCACAATATTGGCAAGGCATTGGCATATTCAAGGACAATTTTTCCTTCTTGCTTCATGGCTCCAGTCATGATCTTGATTTCATAGATCTGAGCAGCATCTCTAGCCCTAGAGTAAGTGAGTAAGTGTGATGAATGAAACCTCATATGCCTTGTGCGTTCCGTAAAAACATACATGTACCACTAATGGATGGCTTCATAGAATCCAAAAGCCATGACATTATCATGAAGTCTTGCCAGTCCCATGCAGTAAATCCAGGACCTGTCTTTGCCGGTCCTGGTCCAATGAGGTGTCGAAGTTTTTCCTTTTCCCTAAGATATGTCTGCTAGATTTGATACAATTTGAGAAAGTTTTTTCCATAGATTCGGTATGACAATCGAAGTTTTGAGTCTGATTTGAGTGATAAAGGCAGACGATTTTGTCAAATGAAGATTTTGACGGCAGCAAGGAAGGTTGCAAATGAAACTTGATTATAGTGGATGATCGATAGATATGAAGGCTTCACCATTGGATTAGGGCTTGGTTATAATCAGATTTTTCAAAATAGAAAAAACTCTAATACCATAAGTCCAAATTATCTTGACATTTAATTATTATTTCAGAGAAGTGCATGCCCTTTTTATAATACAAAAAGTTAACTAAGTCCCTAGATACTAGATACAATAAATCTAAATAAATCCTTAGATACTACTTTCTCAATTATAATGTAACCCAATGAGATTTCGTAGGTAGCTCATTGTTTTGGCGGTCATGTTTCCTCACTCTATGTGAGCCCCACCAAGTTTGTGATGTAGTGTAAGCTTTCAAATACAATAATAATGTAGCCCACAAGAACATACTGATTATAATACTACATTGTACGTAACAAGGACAACATAAAACAAATTTTTCAAGATCATGAAATCAATGTAAAAGTGTCATTTTTCCACATCAGTCATAATGTGGTAGCCATCAAAATAGGCTAAATCAAGATTTCTGAAAAAATATCAAATTTACAGAATGAACAAATAAATTATAGAAAGCTCTAATCAAGACCGTGGGGAAAATCATTACTTTCAATTGGGAAGGTAAAAGTAGTAGAGCAACAGATGAGGAAGTCCCAAGGAGAAAAAAAAAAGTTCAAGAAGTTTCAGAAACTCTTACCCGTCATGTACATGAATGCGAAACTGATTGCTCTGTGACTTCGTTCTTCGAGACACAGATTGTGAGCTATTCAATGCCAAAGCAATAGCTTCAGCAGTTGATACTTCATTGTCCGTTTCCAGCATCTTTGAGGCTGCTGAACTGCAGAAAAGTATTAGATTAGTAGCAAACTTGCATCAACAAAAACAAAATGTTAGCCTATATGTTTACACAGCCCCATGGTTCCTTTTTTTATTGTTCTTTACTCTAACAAAGGTGGCAGCATTCTGAGATCTGACATAATTCAAGTCGCCGTAATCCCAAAGCACCTTAATGAATTTAGTCGTTCCAAACTTCCCTTTGTGATGAGTGACAGCGAGCATTTCATTATCAAAAAGTCGGGGTACATAAAAAATGACAAGGAGATAAGGTGCTCCCAAGCATTAAAAAGGGGATTCATAAAAAATGACAATCCAAAAGGAAAGTTTACTTTCAGAGAAATAACTAGGCCAGTTTTTTTATAAGAAAATTTAAAATGTGTATTCAAACCAGACAACAAGGACAGCCTGAGGGCTGGGTAGATTTTTTATTTTCCCTTTTTGGAGAAGAAAGAATATTACAAAAGAGAGGGCGAAAATAACCTAGAGTCCATCAGTTGAGTTATAAAAAGGAAATCCATTAGGACAAAACAAATATTTCATTGAGTAAACAAAAAAAAAAAATAATTATAAAAAACAGGATAAGAATTTCTACATAAAATAAAAAAATAGCATCTCATTTGTTTATCTCAAATATGGTTTGAGCACAATTGTTTTTACCAACAATAAGCCGTTAAGAACAATGATTGAGTAATGCGCCTTTCAAGTCTCAATCTTTAAATTCAATAAAAGAAGGTGAAATCAAGAATTAGTTTGAACATTAAGAGACAATTTGATAATTGTTTGATAACAATTTTGTTTTATGTTTTCATTTTTTTGTTTTCCATTTCCAAAAAAGTAAAAGTTATTTGCTAACCAATCATCTTCCCCGATTTTAACTCATGAGGAAACATATAAGTTCGGATAAATTTTAGCCACAAATTTAAGATCACCCGTCAATTTACTGGTTAAAAGTACATTACAATCTCAATCTAGCCCATGTAATATAGTGTTAAGATATAAATTTTGAGTAATCTAACTGAACCTGTTCCAGTCACTTTAGCAAGCTTCCCATAGATCTTCCCGCATGTGTTTATTGTATGACCCACCATTTTGCAATGTTCACACCAAAGTCTCTTTTGTTTCTGCTTATTGTCACATCGTACCATTAGGTTAAAACTATGAGTGACAAGTATAGAGGCTTCCAAGATTGTTGGGACTAATTCTGATTTGCTCACCATTACACTTTTCCTACTTTCTTCTCTCCTTACTTCAGAGAAGGTTTGCGGAGAGTTGGCAACGACTTGGTTCCCATTATTAGACCTCAAAACTCATCAAGATCATTGTTTAAACTAAGAAGAATTCTGGATGTCCTCTATTGCCCAAAATTTTTCGTGTTTTGAGTTGTATTGTCAGCACACTTCCATGTATAGACTTTAAATAAAATCAAGTTATTGCCAATGACGAGAGAGTACTAAAGTATTCAGCAACAAATTGATCACCTTGGCAAAAATCATGTGATTCTATTCGAAACAATTTTGAAATGTTCTCCTTAATAGAGTATGTTTCTTTAACGGTGTCCTAAATTTGATGTGGTGTTCCATATAGAAGAAAATTTTTGCTCATCTCATTGGTCATGGAATTAATTAACCACGATATCCCGTGTTATTTTCTACTTTGCACTTCCTGAATTTCAGATGCTTGCCACATATGAACATCATGACTAACTATGAACATTAGATACAGCTGTGGCCAATCAGTTTGTGACCTATGATATAGGCAAGTGATGATGAATCATATCCCCCTTGACCATTGGAGATTGGTTCAACTGATTTGGAAGATGACATATCCAAGAAAAAACAAGATGCTCGGTGATGGAGGAGTTGGCATCAAAGTCAAACGTGAGTGTCTTAATCGTGAGTCAGCATCAATCATGGATTCTCACAATTTCACAATTTTAGAAAGTTCATAATTTCGCGATCTGAGCTATAAAGGAGAAGATCGTCACAAGGGAATCAGAGGAGAGGAAATTGACAACAGTAGTTGGGCTCCAACAGCAGTAATGACGGGAGCGGCGGAAACTATGATAAATTTACCATAACTCAAAAGCATAAATTGATAGGTTGTGGAAAATTTAATTATATCAACACTCCATCACTCTCCCTCACTAGTGGGTTTGAAAATTTGTAGAAGACCCATTAAATAGAAATTGGAGTTAACTGGGGATGAAATGGTATTGCAGAGGTTGGGGATGACATTACAGGATTCAAACTCAAGATGGGGTTGGGATGACATTACAGGGTTCAAACTCAAGACGGGGTTGGGATGACATTACAGGGTTCAAACTCAAGACCTCCTTATCTGATACTATGAAGTTTCTGGTATTTTATTCAAATGTCAACCATACAAAATATCAGAATAAATTCAAGGTACGACAACTCTCATAAAAATATTTTTTACTCTACACAAAATCTTAACACATACCAAAGAGAATACAAAGTAAAAAGAAGATAAAATCCTAAGACAAAATTACAATATTGCACTTTGACTAGAATTTTCAACAAACTGTAACGTACTTTTCATTTCCATCTTTTTAAGATTAAATTCATAATTTTGTCTTTATTAGTAATATAGATAAATGTAGTAATTTCGTCAACTCTAGCCGCGATGGTGTGTTATTGCAAGAAGCAAGGGAGGACCTCAACCATCTTATGAGTGTGCCCTTCTGTTTGCTCATTTGGAGTCAATTTTTCAAGACCTTCAAAGTTGTTAGGGCTTGTAGAGAGGATATTTCTTTATGTTGAAGGAAGTTCTTGTGAACCCTCCTTTTTTTTTTACATAAATAGTCTTGTGTCAGGCTTGCTTCTTTGCCATATTGTAGAGCATTTAGCTTAAAAGGAATAGTAGAATCTTTAGAAGGGTTGAAAGATCAAGTTAGGAGCTTTGGGAGGCAACTAGATTCAACTCACCTTTGTGAGTGTTTATTAATGGAACTTTTTGTAGGTGGTATCAGCTTGGCTTCATTCTTCAATATTGGATTTTGTTCTTGTATTATTGAATTTTGTTCTAGTATTTGAGGTGTTTTTTTGTTGGACTTTTCTGATGTATACTCTTGTATATTCTTTCATTTCTCTCAATGAAATCTTGATTTTTTTAAAGAAATAATAATAAACAAATAATTCATTTATTTATTGAAAAAAAATGAACCACAGCCAACAACTGGAGAAAGTATCAATGACCAGTAGCTCCATCATATATACACAGCCACAAACACCCACAAGGGTAGGTAAAAAAGGAGGAAGAATCGGTAATGATGCCATCATTTGGTTTGCAACTCACAAATTAACACAAGGCACAAGGTAATGCTAGTTACAAATAAGTTGACGTCAAACCAACAAAAAAAGAACAGGAATAAATGAAATACCTGTAATCACCCTTATTGTAAAGATGTGCATGCAAATCCTCCAAAACTTTATAAAAAATAACTCCCCGTAATTTTGTTAACTCCGATCGTACATCTTGAAGTGCACCAACCTACATGTGAATTGGTGTCATCTCAATAGAACAAGCAAATCAGCCTTCAAGTACTAGAAATAACAACTATATGTGTGAACATGAGGAACCAAAAGAGGAACTTCAGGACCATTAAGTTGAAATAGAACTAACAGGGGGATGGAAGATATGAGCATAACTCTATTAAATCCTAGATTCAGATTTTCAAATCATGATACTATCCCCTAATCCAGTTCACTTCTCATAACGTAATAGAAATTAACTCCCATTACCCACTCTCTCCTCCCTTTTTCTCTCTATCCCTTTTCACTCCTCTCATTCTTCCCCACCAAACACTGAGTAATGTCACATCAGAAAGGAAGTGATGAACATAAATATTCCCGTGGGCACCAGAAAAGCTGGGAGATAAAGTTTTCTGAGTGAACTTACAGTTTGAAGCCCTTCCCGCTCAAGCATTAATGCAGATTGAACATGTAGCTGAACTGCTGCATAAAATTGCTTTTCTGCAATCAGTTTTTCAATTCGCCCTGGAACCTGAAACAAGTTTCAGAAGAAAAAATGTTATCCACAACTATTCAGAATGAAGACAACAGTTTTGGACTAAAATTGAACGCCTTTTTTAATAGAAGAACTTCAAAGGTAGAATATTATGATTTATAACATAAGATCACGTTCATAATATGCTTTCAACAATTTACAGATTTCAGATAACCACCGTTGGTGATAAAAACATTTTTGTTTTCTTTTTAACAAGAAACAACTTCTCGTTGATATAATGAAAAGGAAATGTTCAAGGGATACAAACTCCCAAAGGGAGTTAAAATAGAGAAATAAAAAGAAAAATCAAGAAACTAGAGGCAATTACAACCAAATAGAGCTCAGCCTGGGAATAATAAAACTATAAATGCTTCACGCATTACTTCTCAGGCACTAGCTCATCCAGCGAGGCAGCTTTTAAAGGTACGTCATTAAAATAAGCCGTAATAACTTCCTCGGTGAAAGGCCACTTAAAGCAGAATTTTATTTCAGAACCAATCAGAATATTAAAACCACTGGAAAATGACAAAATAAATGCTATATCGAACACCTTTTGAGATGTTCACGCAAATAAATTCCAATAATTTCCCCAAGGAAAGGCCACTTAAAACAAGATTTGACCTCCGCCCCTAACAACCAAAATATAAAAACCGAAACATGCAAAGCTCCATTTAAACTTCAAGCTTCCAGAAGTAAAGGTGAATGGTCAGAAAAAATACGAGATTCTATTGATACCCTTGAATTGTCAAACAACTAATATCATTTTTTTGAAACAAGAAGTCTTATCAATCAAAGAAGTTGATCAATTTTCAGTCAAAAAGTGCAATCTTGGTCTCCTGAATTAATACCAAAATTGGGCAATGAAGCTGAATAAATTTCTTCAAGCTGTTCTTTCAGAATGATCCTCAGATCCTTTAGTTTCCACAATTTAACTTATACTGTTGAAACTCACAATAATCAACTCAAATAAATTTTAAAAATCAATTGGGAATTGCTGGCGATATTAACTAAAGAGGAAAAATTGCTTGGAATTGCTGGCGGCGGAGGAGTACTTGCCGGAAGAGTTTTACAAGTAGCTGAATTTTTACTAAAAGTTCATTCTCATTATCTTGAAAAGAAGACCAAAAGTCTCTCCATAAGTGTCCTCCAAAAAACAGTCATTATTAGCCCCAAAATTCTGAGGTTCCAAGAGTTGAGAGACTGTCCCCAACTACTTAAACTAACGTTAGATTTCCCATCCAAATCAATCAAAATGTAATGAAAGCGCATGATAACCTGCAAAAATTGGAAGAGGCAAAGACACCTTTAGTTAAAACAACATTTGAACTAAGAAGGGAGAAATATAATTGTGATCGGATGTTGGGAGCTCAATTTTCTGAGGATACTTGATTCGCATTTGCTGAAGAATGGACTTGATTTGGCATTGTTATTAGAAGCCGAGAACATGATTCCTCCCGAACATCTTCATTAAAAGCTGATTTTTCCAGAATAGGGAGGAAGAAAACCGCAAATGTTCCTTTTGACTACAATACAAGCTATAGAACAATCAGTCATATGATGTGTTAGAAGAAAGACTAATAACGCCACTAAAATATTCACCAATTGCTTGAAACGTGTTGAGCTCTCAATATGTGAAAGGTAAATTGTTTATAGAGGTCCAACCTCCATATCCTTCTGCAAAATATAGATGAATATGCTTCCTCTCGACCAATTTTTTAGTTTTAAATGGAAATCTCTAACTAATCTTTATTTTCCATTAAAACGTGTCCTGTCAATACATGATCCAACTTCAATAAAGCCTTATCAGCCATGAATGGATTGATCTATACCTTAACTTGAAAATACTATTCCAAAGCATCTTTGATTTTTCCCAAGAATTGTGAGCAAATCACCTGGACACCATCATCAAATCACAAAATTCATATTTGTCACATCTTTAGCATTTCAAACCCAAAGGAGGTACCTCTTAAATTTCTTTCTGAGGTAAGCCGTGAACAATGTATATCCATCAACCTCTATATAACTGCAATGATTTGATTTTTCCTTCAACACTACCAACAAAAGAGCTAGACGAAGTCATAGATGCATCAAACAAACACTTCGATGAATCTAACTGAAGACGTCCATCGAACTTTCCAAGGAAATCTTTTACCATTTCCCAAAAAGATCAGCCATCCTTTTTTTAATAGACCAGCTTTTATGTGAATCAACTTCCTAGCACCCAAAGGTCGCTAACAACACACTATAAACTATCCAAGAGAGAACTTATTGCTTTTCCAGACGCGGAATACCAAATTCATCTCTGCTTGCTTTAAGAATTTGGAATGCACAGGTGACTGCAAGAAATCTACCAAAAAACTTTCAAACCAACGTACATGGGAGATTGAAAGAGGAATTCTCAAATTATGCTTCATTTCTTCAATAAAGAAAGCGTCATCTTGAGACCAAAACCTTTAAAAAGTGCTACCTACACAACAACCTCGAATTTCCCTGACCGAGAACCAACCAATTTTTAAAAGTATGTATTTTACGTACAACAGCTTCTTAATCTCATATATCGCAAAATGCAAAACAAAACAAGTAACTAACCTTATAGGAAATGATTTCTCAAAAGAATGATTACTTCAAAGCACAATCTGCTAATAATCATCTGGTTGGAAGCTAAGAACGGATGGATAGATGCAACTGAAAACAGAAGAGGGGAGAGGATTTTGGAAGGAGTGGGATCACAGATTTTTTTCGACGCTACACCTGTTTGAGGTTGATTTTCCTATGCTGTTGGTGATGTACACATTTAAAACCAGAAAATTAGAGGCATACCTTAGCAATGCCCTCAATTTGATCTAGGAGGGATATTATGTGACGCAATGTAACCGAACGATACCATAGCTGATGCAACTGCTTACTGCGGGCACTGAAACTTCTTTTTGTATCAGCTAAATCAACCTTCAAAATTGAAACACTCTCGGCAGATTCACTAAATAACCGCAATATCTGGAAAAAAAATCAAATTAAAAAATTAAAAATTCGTCTACACCCAGTCAATCCCACATCATCACTCAGCAAGAAAAGCCTAGAACAAAATTTAGTTTTATAGCGAATTATGGAGAATTCTATGACAAATACAAAACAGCAGGAAAATAACTTCTGAAGCATTGTATAATGAATTACAGAAAACTCTACAACAAATATGAATCATGGAGAATCCAGTATCATTACACTGGATATTTTTTTAATGAATGAAACGAGATACTTATTAGACCAAGGAAATCTCTATGCTGCTGATGGGTTCAGCTAAAAGAAAATATAACTCAGGATTATCAACAAATCAGGGAGTAGAGGGAGCATGCAGGTAAAAAAAAAAAAAGTCTAAATAGACCTGCGAGTAATTTTGAATGGCTTTGTTGAAACCACTGTGAAAAGCATGCACCACTTCATCCACAACTTCCTCAATAACATCATTCTGCTCCCTTAAAATTTGTGCCTCCCCATCACGATCTTTAGATGTTAGAATATGAACAACATGAGGAAGTGAGTCAAACCGTGCAGCAGCCCAACTCTCATCTACTCTTGCAATTTCATTCTTCAAATACTGCATTTAACATAAATACACAAATAGAAAGATAATTTGCATATGCCCTCTAGGAAAATGTCAATTTCGATGTTTGATATTAAACAAAACTATTCCTCCCAAAAAAAAAAAAAATATATATATATATATATATACACACACCTATATAATAAACTGGGCTCCCAAGTCAAATACAGTTCAAGAAAAAAAAAAAATCGTTTCAGCATAAGGCTAGCTAGGAAAATTAGAAAATTTTGATCAGTTGGGTAGTTAAATGTTCAGGTAGTGTCAAATAAGTATGTCTTATGCTTTTCTTTACTCAGAATGGAAAACACACATGGATAAAATAAAGAAATGGATATACCAAAAGGGAGAGCACCAAATCCCACATAGAAAGCCAAGAACTACTTACAATATCAAATACAATTAAGAAAATAAAAGATGAAGGTACATCAGCAAAACGACTAGGAAAATAATCCATGATAAAGTCAATAAATAATCATTCTGCAAACAACTTCTCTCTGAATGCACCAAATATGGGAGGACATATTAGTACAAGCGCAGTATATAGTTGGAGCCTTTACTAAGCCCTTTTATAATTACTAAGTTTATCTAATTAGCCTTCATTGTATGTGTTTTTTATACAACTGCTTGGGAAGATGCCTGCCTCTCTTTTAAGCTCTCACACTCTCCTTGATACTTACTACAAGTTGCTTCTTAACCCCACTTGCCGCCCCTCAAAGAAAAGAAATCATAATGAAAGAAGAGGGGTTGCCACACAGAATGCAAGGGTCACTACATGACTTCCAAATTGAATATTGTAATATATTTTGAATTTTGGCTTTTCTGATATGAAACAAGACATGGATTTATAATTTTAGAAAAAACAATGGGAAATACAAAAAGAAAAGATGAGAGATCCCTGGAAGCCAATGGATTACAGAAAAGACTCCCAATTGGCATACATCAACGAAAAACTGTAATAACAATATTCATTATTGGGGAGCTCAAAGATGAAGAGGGAAACTTGACGAAGTTCCAAAAGCCATCCCTAAAAGCTTCTCCTCTCGAAAAGTTCTCGTACTCCTTTTATTCCATATTTTTCAAAGGGCCGCCACTGCATTGAACATAAAATTCTGGAAAGACCACCAATGTAGGTTCCCTAGATAATCTGTTACAAACCACCGAACTGTGTTTGGGAAAGATACATGACAAATTGAATGTTTTGAGGAGCCTATACCTATACTTTGCAGCAAATGAGAAGAAGAACAGCAAATACTGACTATCTTCCCCATCTTTTTTTTGCACATCACAAACCAAAAAGGAGACAAACCAATTTGGCGTTCTTCTTTGCAATCTGTTGCGAGTGTTTAGTTTCAACAGAGTGAATTCCATAGAAATAATTTTACCTTCTTAGGGATTTAACTTCCAGATCAGGTCAACAAAGGAGCAGCTGATAACGCCAGAGGTACTACTTAACTAGCTTGACCATGGACTTTTACCTTCTTGAACAGTCCACATTTTGCAGTCTTCTCTATCGTTGAGGATTAGATTCCTTTTCAAAAATGAACTATTTTATTTGTGACAAACAAGTAGTTATTTAGTTTATGAGCAAGGATCTCCAGCTCAGTATAATTCCTTCTAAATTTGAGGTCCCATCAAGCAGAAGATACTGACCAGCATTGGGAGGTGAGAAAATCTTTTAATTTTCCACCATATAAAGCCTATGAAAGACCCCTTTCCAAAACACAATATCATCCCTTCCAACTTCAAATTTTTCGATTTCTTGGCTTTCCTACAGCATTTTGTAATTGGAACCCATGACCCCTTGTATCGGTTATTGGATTTTGGTAGAAGAATCCAGTCCTTGTTGGAAGCTCCATATTAATTAGCAACAATGACCCTTCATACTAGCCAGTTGAATCTAAGAACCCTCATAAATGCCATGGGTATGCAAACCCCTAGTTCACAAATGCTAAAACCCCCAAATCAATTTGATTTCATTCCAAATAGTTGCAACTCTTGAGAATTTGATTTAACAACCTTATTGAGACTTTTAGATCTAAATACATCCAAGAACCTCAAAATGATAAGGAATCACCCCAAGAGAAAATAAGATTCAAATTACCTTGTTGATCAAATATTTCAAGGCAAGAACACTTGTTTGAGATTCCAATCACTCCACAAACAAAATTGATCAAGTCAAGCTTGATGATTCTAAACATCCTAGACTACATAGAATTGCAAAGAAACTTAGCCTTTGGCTAAAATAAAACACAAATGCTCTTGTTACTACACTTTTCAAGTCTACTTTATAAAGACAACATACATGGTTTTATGTAGCCTCAAAATAAAACCCTTGACCTTCCATGAGGAAGAGTCGTAGTCTTCATACTTTATGACCATAATTAGTCACTATGTAAATGTAACCTTGAAGTAGATAAAAAATCTTAAAATACATTAAAACACCATAACTATTGATTATCATCCACTCACAATTCATAACCATCTAAGAATAAATGAAACTCATCTTCCTTGAAGTTCATATTACATGATTGAAATGTCTTGATTTAAATCAATTCTCCTCAATCATTGCATTTTATCGTACAACTAGGAAGTATTTTAAGAGTTGAATTTGCACATTGCTTCAGAACACTACCTCAAGTCAACATGCACAGGATCAAAAGTACGGGAGAATTAATCATATTCTAAAACCTGCTACTAGTTTTTTTGTAACACGAAACAAAATTTTATCGACTAATGGAAAAGACAACGTGTTCAAAGACACAAACTCCTAGAGGAGCGAAAAAAAGAAAAAAGAAAAGAAAATATAATACAAGTACAAAAAATTTATGATGTGTGAAGAAAAGCATCCCAAGTAATTCAAATATCACGATAAGAATAAGATTCAAGCTATTAATCGATGAACTTTTCCAGCTGTACAGAAGGAGAATAGAACTTGCTACAAGCAATTACTCAAACACAAATTAAACCTCCAAATATCCTTCTGTACACCAATATGATCTTATACATGTTCGCATTAAAGACCTTTTGCTTTTCCTTTTCTTTTTTCTTTTCTTTTTTTTTTTTTTTCTTTTTTTCCTTTTTGAATTGAAACTGAAACTGAAAGAAAGGTGGAAATGGAAAGGGGGCAATGAAGTTAAAAACTTTTCCTTATTTGGACATGGAAAAACATAAAGATAAAATTGATGGACAATTATAAAAAGTCGTGGAAGGAATGAAGAACCATAGCTCATATAGACCAAGAAACTACATGATAATGCACGTCTAAAAGAGGACTCACTGCTTTCTCGGGAGGGACTGGCAAGCCATCAAAAATTCCCATTTCAATCTTTTGCCTAAAAAAAAGCAAGAAGGTAATCGTTAGAGCTCATTCACTGATTGTTGAAACCAGGCTGAAAGAGAGAAACAACCTATTATAACAACGAACTAAAGAAAAACAGCAGAGTAATCACAAATAACGTTCCTAAAACAAATTGGGCCAATGCAGGCATTTTGAGGGACTGTCAAATCGCAAAAAATTCAAATTTCAAGCCTTTACATAGAAAAGAGCAAGCAGGTAATTGTTAAATTGCAACTCAAGTCATTCAACTAATTCTAGAAACTAAGCTGAAAGGGCAAAACAACCTATTATAACAATTTTCCTCTCCCCCTTGAGAAGCATATCTACAGAAAGAACAATATGCAGCAGGAAATTAATTTGAGAAACTAATTTCATTTACTAAATTAAATTTACAAATAGTAAAACCTTGAACCATTTAAGGACAAAATGCCTCCTTAACATGAGCATTTTTTGTAATGGGATCAAACTTATAGAGAAAATCCTACGAATTTTTGACAGCCAAATGTTGTAGGAGTTAGGCCACCCACGGATATCAGAAACAATAATAATAACACTGTGTAAATTTCACAATTCCAAAGGTACAGCAGACTACAGTAGACGATGACCAACCAGACAGGGAGGGAAAGCAAGACGGAGACCTATATTTTCTATATTTACACGCATTATAGCAAGCTCAACGCACAAAAAAAAAATTAAAAATGATTGCATCAACTAAAACCATTAAAATTAATAATACACCCAGAAACCAAAAACCAGATTGCATCAACTAAAACCATTAAAAATAATAAATACACCCAGAAACCAAAAACCAGACTCCGCGTTAGAATTCTCAGAAAACATCAATTAAATACCGACCAAATGATAAATCACCAACATCCCCGCCCATTAAACCCAACATAATTCAAACAACCTTGAGCGAGATCAAGAGAACACACCTTAACTAAGAGACATAGACCAAATGTGGAAGACTGATGAAATAAGATCACGCAGGACAATGAGAGACAGAGAAATAATTCAGCCAGAAATATGTTGCTAGCTCGGAAACCGACAGCTTTAATGGACGCAGAAGGGGAAGCAATTGACACTGCACAACCCAATCAAGAAAGAGAACGAGAGATTACAGATTGAGTGTCACGGTGGTTGGATGGGCTGATTCGTCGGCCGACGACGGAGATGGGCCGAGTTTAGAACTCTTAGGAATGCTGATGACAGAGAAGAAGTTGAATTATTGCTCTGATTTTGCTCAGAATCAGAGAAACGGTGATGAAGAAGGCAAATTGAGTTGATCCGCCGATTTTACCCTAAAACGTTATATATATAGTTATTGGTGGTACTTACGGTTTGGGTTCGTCTTAATAAATAAACTAATATTACTTTTTTTTTATTATTATTGAAACTTCGACTTTAACATTTATGTTGGCAATTAATAATATTTATATAATTAAATTGTTATATTTACGTTATTTCGTTTTCCATTTTCTACATGTTTATTGATCATGGCCTTACTTTACTAGATACGCCTTACAATTATTTGGTTTCACATGGGTATCTTAATTTTCTTGTACGATCAAAGATGAGATTCCTGTCGAACCATCTAAGCGCAGTGTGATTGTGGTCGGCTCTGGACTGGTAGGTGTTGCTATTGCTAGGTATCACGGTTATGCTCGTCTAGTGTGTAATACCCGTGGTTGTATGCTCATGTCACGTCGAATCCTTTATTTAATTTCATGTTGTATTTTTTGTTTGTACTACTACTCGTGAAATCATGTCTAGACCTTGTATTATGATGGTCTAACTAGTTGTCAACTTCTCCCCTGATTTTGTATGATCGTTCAAAGGAATCACGTCTAGACCTGCCAAACTTGAATTGCCTCAAAATATACGGTAGTGAATGTGATTAGTTGTCAAATTCTCCTACCCAAAAATTTTTATGTTATTTAAGCTATGTTGCACATTTTGCTTATAGTTATACAATGTTACTTTTAAATCTTCTTTCCTTCTTACTTTCAAACTCGTTTTCATAAATCTTTTTGTCCCGTTTTTTAAAACCTTCTTCTCAAATAGGGTTAGAGACTTGAGCATACGTTGTCTAACCGTAAGCGACACAAATACAAATTCTTACTTTCAAACTCAGCTTTCAAAAATCTCTCTGCCCCGTTTTTTAAAACCTTCTTCTCAAACAGAACCAGAGGCTTGAGTATACGTTGACCAACTGTAGGCGATCCGAATACAAATTGGTTTGACTCACTTAGTGTTGGGAGTGAGTATTGCACAATCAAACAAGGTCAGAGGCTTGAGCATACGTTGTCCAACCGTAAGCGACACGAATACAGATTGGTTTGACTCACTTGGTGTTAGGAATGAGTTAGTTGCACAAATGCAAAGTCCACTGCCAAAAAAAGTGCAATTGTGATATTAGGCATCGATATGTCAAGATTTGCCATCCAGATTTAGCACCTGATGGCATCAATATTCCTTACTTATTAAGAAATCATCCACAAGCTATTTAGTTCCTCGAATTTAGAATCACTCGAACCATAAATTTTTCAGTACATTCAAGCCACTTTATTTTACTTTCGTACGAACTCGTGCTTTATACTTTCTATGTACAATTCAACTCAGATCCTTAATCCAATACAATCACATTACAAAGCTATAGAAATACAACTCTTCAATGATGGAATTAAAGTGTATTTTGAGTGGTGTTTATGTGATCATTTTTACAGTTAAATAACGCATCATGGAATGCATTAACACTCTTCAATATCAATCTTAATGCCCTTTCCCTGCGCTCAAATTCTTATATTGCCAGACCCTTCCAACCAATCTTTCAATTTTGCTTCTTTATCAGCCCTGAAATCGTCAAAAGACACCGAAAGTAAATCAGTGTCCAAGCCGACATCAACCCGATCGTCGCATTGCAACACATCGTTCACTTGACAAGACAGAGGCAGCTCGTCGCTATCCATATCTGGCTGTGACGAACTAGAACTAGCTGATAGAACTGATGGTTGGTTAGGTTGTGGCTGTGCCTTGTGAACTTCGACTCGTGCAAGATCTTCCACGATGTCGAGCTGTGGCCACTTAAAGTTGCTCGTCATTTCTCTAGCTGGCTTGAATACTGTTGAAATATAGGCACCACCGTCGTCATCGCGCGGGGCAATGGCTGCACTTCGCCCCCAAGTGGCTGACCTCCAAGTGCTTACTCTCCCTGGTGGCTGCATACCATAAGTACTACGGATCAAGCCTCTTCTTGGCTGTTTGGTTGACATAACAGCAAGAGACTTTTTGATGTCTCTACTCATCTCATCAGCAATGGGAAATCCACATTCTTTCATCGACCTCAACATCGTGATCGAATCCTCCGAATCTTCAGTGTGCAAAGTCGATTCACGAGACGTGTTTGCCACACTATTCTTCATATTGAGAACGTTGGGAACGCCATTTTTTGTATGCTGTTGAATGTAGAAAAGCCCAGTTGACGGTTCATTTGCGATATACTTGATCATCTCGGCTGAGCTTTCGACTATCTCCACAAAGCCATCAACTGTGGAGAATCCATACATCTTTTCAAAGGTGAATGGCAGTTCATCACTGGGTTTATGAAACATAACAGATGTAATTGCCCATTGAAATGAAAGAGTAAAAATGGAAAATGAACAACAAATTGTTGAACTAAGCTAATAAAAATTTGGTGCAAGTCAGAAAATGGAAACCTTCTTATCTCCTCCTTGCCGTCCATACTTAGCCTGACTTGCTTACGTTTGGCATTGGGCAGTCCTCAACAACCAATGACTATGTTCACATTAGAAAACAAATCAAATCCTTTCTGTTCTAATACACTAACTTCTGTGTGGGCAGTTGCAAAATGAAAGCATAACATAAACGGAAACATGATTTACTCATGAATTAAGCACAGACAAGTATGAGTAGTCAGATTAATAGTGGTTGATACACACGTTACAGACGTGACTAGCCAACATAATATTTACCACATAACTCAACTAAACTGCAACGGCTCAAGCCCACTGCTAGAGGGGAACGATATCGATTGAAGAGGGGAATGAAACATTCTTTATAAGGGTGTGAAAACCTCTCCCTAGCATACATGTTTTAAAAACCTTGAAGGAAAGCCTAAAAGGGAAAGCCCGAAAGAGAAAGCCCAAAGTTGGGTCATTACTGTTGTCATTATTACATAAACTGTAATGCAAATATTAAGAATTTTCAAGATATCTTGGGAAGGGAATGCATAACAATCGTTGTGGGAGCTTTGAGTTCCAATTACAATGTCCAAAAGTATGAGCCATTACCATCAAAACTCGTGCCAGATGGAACTAATTCAAACTCTGAGACGAATTTACTTAGCTTTGGTTAGATTTTTGAGACAAGGAATTTAACGAAACATCTGACAAACTATGTTCTTTAAACTTGTTGAGATTTCACATTGGTTGGAGAGGGAAACGGAACATTCCTTATAAGGATGTGGAAACTTCTCCCTAGTAAACGCATTTTAAAACCTTGAGGGGAAGCCCTTGAAGAGACTGACCAAAGAGGACAATATCGGCTAGCAATAGGTTTGGGTTGTTACAAATGATATCAGAGCCACCAGACACCGGACAGTGTGTCAGCGAGGACACTAGGCCCCTACGGAAGTGGATTGTGAGATCCCACATTGGTCAGAGAGGGGTACGAAACATTTCTTACAAGAATGTGGAAACCTCTCCTCTAGTAGACACATTTTAAAACCTTGAGAGAAAAGCCCTCGAAGGAAATTCTCAAAGAGGACAATATCTGCTAACGGTGGATTAGGAGTGTCACAATCAATGACTATAGTGGAACATACATGGTCGGAGAACTAAACCGAAGCTGAAGCTAAAAGTACCAAAGATAAAAGGGAACTTCCTAAGAAAGTAACATTACAACGAACCTAATTCTGATCCTTACAGGTTTGGAATGGAATTGAAATGGCGCTTCTATCAGAACTTCCTTAAGATCATAATTTAAAGAACTGTAAAAGATTGGAAGTATTTTTACGAGGGGGAATGAACAATTCCATCCCCCCCTGTCGATATCTACAGCTTGTAAACGAGATTTTCATCGAGCGTCGTCGCCCATGAAAGAGACACGAATTTGATTCAATCTCACCATGAAACGCTACTATTGTTTCAGATCCAACGCCAACACCAGTTTCTTCCACGATGAACATTCATCTCAAATCTAAACAACCAAGAACAATTTACAGTCTCTCATTACCAAAACCCAGCTAAAATATCATAACATTTCTAAAAAAAGCATCTCGATTCTTCATCTAATGTTTCCGATAATATGAATATAAGAAAACAAACATAATTAGGATAGATGAATACGATAACTTACAGGAAATCCCGGAAGGCCAAGATGATTATTGCTTATCCGAGGCTTCTTGAGGGTCGTAGAGGCAGATAAGAGCTCCAGAATTTGTCTTCTTCTTCGGGCTTTGTCGGAACAATCCTGTCGAGTGTGCCGATGACGACATGTAGAGACAAATTCAAACTTATTCTCGTCAGCAGAGCTCCGACATAGAAATTAGTGGGGACTTCGAGGAATATATATATATATGTCTTTTCCTCTTCACGTGCTCTCTTCTGCTTCAATCTTCTCTTTTTCCTTCCTTTAGTTTTGAAGGGCTTTTCACTACGTTTCCTTCTTTTTTCGGGAAGGTTACGTTGTTATCATGTTCCTTCTTCCTCAATCCGAGCTCGGACTTAAACAATTACATGGTATCCAATCATTGACATTTAAAATGTTCATTATGGATTGGAATCACCAAATTATTAAGATTACAAACACAAATATTACATAATTATAAGATTATCTCTTATACATCGTGACGACAAATAAGTCTAAAATGTCAGAACAAAATCGACATGACACTCAAATATTCTTAGAAACCAAACCAATAAAGAAAAAATATCAATATTTCCAAATTTTATTTTGTCATTTTATCAACAAATCTTAATTTATTTATATATTTAGTGATGAAAATAAATGTTTATATGTTAAAATCGGAAATTTTACCATGTGTAATATGTTTTATAAATAATTATAAATTTAAATTTAAATAATAAGAAGAAATAAAATGACTTAATAATTTTTGTAAAATAAAAGCATGGGATATTTATTTAGCGAAACAAAGAAAGCCGTTGAAGTTGGATCCCTATGAGACGATCACCAAATTCATAGCCGGAGACTCGAGGTGAACAAATGGCGCGAAAAGGGGACAAGAACCAAAAACCCTAACAGCAACGACCATGAAACCTTCCATAACCACCGATATCCGCCCCGCCGCTGCCGTCATTATCGTCTTCACAGTCGCACTCACATTCAGGAGTTAATTTATCTACTTTCTTCTAATTGTTCTTTCATTTCCTCTAACTAATATAACTAACGCTTATAAAGATGATGTATTTCATAACTAATATTTAGTGACAGGGTGTATTGAAGCTTAAGAAACTTCGTGGACAGAACATTTAAACAAATCCGGAAAATACGAAGTTAGGTACATACTTGGAATTACAAATGTCCACTAGGAAGGACACTGCTGTTGCGTTGCCCGAATATGGCGGGGATCACATCTGAGCGACCAAGTTTCCCGTTTCAAGTGATTCATCATGGAGTGCGCCTCCAGTCCACCTCTTCAGCATCTCTAATGCCGCCTTCGGCTGGTCCATTGGGACCATGTGACCCGCATCGTGAACCTATTATCGAAGATACGATCGAGTGATTTCAGTGAAACTGATTTGCTTATAAGAGATTTGTTGCGTTTAAACACGATCTTCGTACCATCAAAAGTAAGATTGGTACCATCAAAAGTAAGATTGAATGATTTTTAACCATTTTGAAATCGAGTCACATATGAGAGAGAGAGAGAACCTTGAGAAAACTGAGGGCGCCATGTTGTTTAAGCAATCCTGCTTCCGAACCATCGACTAGGAAAGGGACGTTCGGAGAATTCCCGAACTCCTCCTTACCAGACCATTCCATAGCATTTACCCATCTTGAATTGCCTATCCACATACATAGACGACACTCCAATCTTAGAAAAACAAACGTAAGATCTAGTATATCATATTTGAATATTGTTACCTAGCCAATTGCAGATCAAATCATACTCTCCCGCATATACAAGCAACTTGATCCCATCCTCGAGTAGAGCAGGAATACCCACTTCGGCGTTCCTCATCCAGTCCACCAGCATCGCCCTATAGACAGTTGGACTGCATGAAACAAATTCGATGTCCCCAACTCCAAGCATTTCCCTAACAGATTGCAGGTTCAAGAATTTCTCCATATTTGAGAAGTCATAGCAGAGACTCCCTTCACACTTTTTCCTGATATCATAGTGCTGAACAAGAGTGAAAAACATTAATATCAACGTTAAAACCCTACACGGTTCCCATTTTTCATCAACGGGTCGCAGACACAAGTATACTTAAATATTCGCTGTCGTGAAAGGTGATTAAAACTGAGGAAACATGACAGAAACGATGTTGAAACTTCCTGGAAATCATGAATTACTTGTATTTGTATACCTTGTAAATTATATAACCCAATTATTTCTAACAAATTAATCAAACCAAGTCATTAGAAGTACAGATAATTTAAAACTCTAATGCTATAATCAGAAAGAAAAGCAGTATTCTTACATTCATATCACCGGCATGCAACATGATGCTGGTAAATATGGCGTTGCAAACAAAATAAGAAGTCATGCAAGAAAGTGTGCCATCAGTACCTAGAAAAGGAACACATATCAACAAAAAAATACCATCAGATGCCATCAGAAGCTAGAGACAAAGGGCAGTGTCGCGGGAAAATCACATGCCAAGCTACCAAATACCTACCACACAGATTAATTGCAAGTTCACAGGGTGGAACCAACAAGTTAATATGACGATGTTGAGACTTTGTAATGATGCCCATGTCCAATGCATAGTCTGGGTAAGTTTTGTATTGGATTGCTGGATCAGTAAGCCCATTGCCAATAGCAAATCCCTGACACAAACGTATTTAAAGATGGATCAAGTCGCTAGAAGAATATTCTTATATTTTTCTGATCTAATTTTAAGACACAATAGACATACTTTAAGGTTTATATGAGTTCCTTCTTTGGCTTTGTTTCCCTGATGAATCCGGGCAGCCAAAGCAGGAATATAATGCCCAGCATAAGATTCTCCAGTTATGAAGAAGTCATTCTCCACAAGGTCGGGGTGTTCCTCAAAGAAAGCCTGATTACAAAAAACAAAAAAAAAAAAAAAACAAAAAAAATTATAATAATAATAGAGTGATATCATTGTGAGTTTTGAAATTAATTTCGATCTCTCTACATTCCTCTACAGTGAATCAATTTGATGTTGCGTGACTAAATGTGGAATTGATAATGATAACGACTAAGAAACACTTCCCTCCAAAACCAAATAGTAATATCAGTAACTAAGCAAAGAAAAATGAAGGGAAAATACCTGCAAGAAGTCGTAAAGGTCATTACTAACACCATTTTCATCATGACGAATATCTTCCCTATCAGAACTATAGCTAAAACCAGTCCCAATGGGTTGGTCGACATACAGAAGATTTGAAACCTGCAGCAACGGAAGTAAAACAACTATTCTATATCAGCCAGTGAAGCTTTGTAAATAGATATGGTAGCCCAAATAAAAGTAGAAATGGATGAATGTTGCCTAACTGCTCGGCAAGATCCTAACCCTAAAAAAAATCGATACAACCAAATCGAGAACAACAAATATATATATCTAGATCATATAGAAAAACAAACAAATATACCTTATCCCAACCATATTCATTCCAAACAAGTGACAAGTTATTAGTAACTTTAAAAGGACCGTTTTCATAAAACATAGCCAATTCGCTACTGCATCCTGGGCCTCCAGTCAACCAGATAACGACAGGATCTGTTGTTTTGTTGTTACGGGACTCAAAGAAAAAGTAGAACATCCTACACAAAATGAGAACAGTTAGAACTCTGAGCAAGCACGCAAATCGTAACAGAACAGAGCAATTACTGATAATCGAATCATGGTAATTTCAACAAAATTTCCAATTCATATTCAAGCAAAAGATATGTATATATATGTATACAGATACAGCCAGTAGCGGAAAAAGGATCCACTTCAATAAATTGAAATTAAAACTAACTGCGATTAAAACATAGATTATAATTATTAATTAGTATATATGCTGAAAGTATCGACAACGACATCCACAACTTCATAACAACGCATGCAGTTGATACACTGTGAAGGAAAATCGACATGTTTTTCATCGAATCATCTTCATGGACCATAAGTTTCATATGAACAAACTAGATATACACGAACCACATTTAACAATAATTCTATAAGATACCGTACCCGATGAAATAACCTAGCACATAAAATCCAACATGCAGTATTAAAGCACGTAAACCGGAACACCGAACTCTACAGTAAACCACCGAAATCCTAGGGTTGCTAAAACCTCACCTCGCATCATGAGAGTGTTCGATCTTGTAATATCCAGCATGGTGGCCCAAGTCCTCCAAAGAAACCTCAGAATCACCAAGGATTGGGAATCTCAACCGCCTCTCCACGATTTTCTTCGACCCGGTGGCGATCAGAGAGGAATTTTCGATACTCCGATGGATGATATTGGCATCACTTTTAGGAAACAGATTGAGCTCTCTGATGAGCTTCTCAGCCTGGTCGGAAGGAAAATTGAAGGACGGAATACTAGGATCATCGAAGATTCCAGCCAAAGCAGAAGCCGGAGAAAGAATCAAAAGGGATAGCAAAATACAAACACAAATCGAGCCATTCATTTCTTGTTCCCTAGGAAATCCCATCCTCTCGCCTCTGAAAATTAAAAAGTTTCTCTGAAACATAGCGACTGGAAAATTAACAACTTCAAAACATATATATATATATATAGAATTGGAGGGGAATCGCTTGAGAATATTTCACTTGTATTGCTTTAACGCATTTAACATAGATCTTGACCGTCCATTACTGAGGCAATTTTGATCATGCGGGTCCTGTGTACATGAGCGGTTCAGATTAACGTGAATTTCACGCAATTTTAAATTTTTAGATCAAATTTGGACCTTTAAAAGTATAAAAACTAAAATAAAAATAAAATTTTGATATTTTTTAAAAAATTAATTAATTACTACAATTAGTTACAAAGGGTAAATTTTGAGTTTTCTTTTCCAATTAAACTTGATCACAGATAATAAAAATAATTTTGATTACAAAAATAAATTTATTTTAAAAAATAATTCTCCGAACAAGTTTCCAATTTTCCATGACTCTGAAACTTCAACTTAAATATCAAATGTTACCGCCATGGCAGTAAAATAATGTTGAATTAGTAGTTAGTTTGAACAAGGATGCCAACAATGATGAATTACAATCTTCCCAATCAGTAGATGGAGGTAGTAGCAGGTCATCGAGTATGAGCTCGAGTTGGTGACTACGATCTCGAATCTTGTCTACTGCTAATCGAAAAGCCCTTCGTCGTGCCAAATATCAACCAAGAAATCTACCATCTCCTGTTAGTCACATAACAAGCATCAATAAACGCTGTACGTCGATTGAAAGGAACAAAGAAAATATGTATACACTACCAACAACAAAATCCTGGTTTCGAAAAAGTCAAAGATTCAAATTCTCATCCGCACATATTGAGTTCAGAAAACAACTGATCGAGCATGATGAAGGACTATATGCGCCCGCACACGCACATATATTTATAAATTGAATGCACTTTTCAGAAGCTTACCGGGAGAGGTATAGGCTCACTGAAGGGCTCGTTAGAGGAAAGCAGATCTTCATATGCTGTTGACCAGCTGCAAATTCAAAGTGAAAATTTCATCATTCAGATTATGTTCCTAACGAGAAATGCTTCTTTACTGAGATAAATGAAAGTCACAGAAGAAACCAAATAGTTATCTATTGTCTCTATTGAGTACTTTTTCTTTCGTCTTTTACCGACCGTAAAGGATAGAAAAAGGTTTAAGGTTTAGTAAAAAAAACATGGAAAAGGTATGTTCCTTCAAGATATAAAATGACCTCTTTCTGTTATTTCAAGAACATACAAAACCTTTTTGAGTTCAATAACATGTACGACCTTAATTGAACAATTTGTTCTCTAGGTTTCCAATTGTCTTTGAGTTCTAAAGTTCAACAATATGTTTGTTAGGAAGAAGTATTACGAACTTTAGACCTTTTAGTCGAGAGTAAATGTCTTAGCCCATTGGCAGAATTACGAAATCGTTTTATTTCAACAACCATCTAATTTCCATCAAGTGGTCAGAGTAATCACTAGCTTGACATTTAGAAAAGGTTCAGTAAAAATATATAGGCTTAAAGTTAATAATATCTTCAGGCATATTTTGTTCCTAAAAAATTGGGATGTCTACTTGTTTGCCTACTCCTGTTTAGGGTAATTTGTTGTGTTTATTATGATTATTGATTATGAACATTTTTTTCAAGTTCACCAACAAAACTAATAGAATGAATAACTATCTGCAACTGAGAACATTCAAGAGAGCAAGAGATCACCTTATCATTGATTCCTTCTCCATTCTTTGTTGTAGAAATTGTTTATCGATCCATTTCTTTCTACTCTCATGCCAATGAATTGCAGCTGTACAACACATCCAATCAGATTGACAACGAAAAATACATTTCAAACCAAAAGTAATAACTACTACAAGTTACTGTCACCATTTTGAAAAATCTACGCTTGAAGAAACAAAGAATTCCTTATTAAGACGATTCGAGCACATTCAAAGGCCAAAGATTCATGATATGCCTCATCAGATATTCAATCAATGAAACAAAAAAGTATGGGTCATGAAGGTGCCTATCTTCCCTCAGAAAAACTCCTCCTCTGCCAAGCCATTACTACTAGTCCACTTTCCTTTCAATCTTTTCCTTCAGTTATGCCTGACATCCGCCTTTATATAACTCACACATATTTACCACATTCAGAAAACTCTATCAATAATTCTATCATTATTTCGTTCACGTTTTACGAAAGCGACGTTTTAGATCATCAACACATTCCAACACGATGCAAGAAACTAAATGGGGATTTATTGTTTCCCATTTTCGGTCACTCCTAAATGAAAGAGTATGGTTGGAGCCTCTAAATTGAATGGAATATATAAATTTGCATGAGTAGAACCAAAGAACAAGCTTTACTTTTTTTTTTCTTTCTTTTCTTTTGAGCATCTATTCTAAGAGTTTTGAATTCCATGGGGTCATCAATTATATATAGCAGGCACAAATAAGCACATAAGAAATAGTAATTCCAAGAAACTAGAGAACAGGTATAAAACATCAAATCTGAAACTGCTATTACAAACGTCATGGATGCTTGCTTACCCTGATTAACAAACGTGGAGGAGCTTAAATCCTTTTCTGAAGGCTTCTTCACTTCACTGGAAAATGAAGAACGACCCATAGACGGTTTCTCTTTCGAATGGGAACTTCCTTTATTCATCTCCATATTCTCTGGACTAATAGACTCATTCCCTCCTGCAATTATAAAGCAAGTACTCTCTTTTATAAGCACACAATAAGTGCTCTAACTACAAAGAAAAGCAAGTTCTGGCATAACAAGAATTCTGAGAGAGCAGCCAATTAGCATAAAAACATGTGTTTTTCATCTGATGAAACGTAAAAGAGAAAACACACTGAAAATCATCAAAACTGACAAGAAAAATTGACAAATTCACAAAAATTGAACAAATTCACAAAAATTGAACAAATATTCTCATTGTATATTCTATATATGCTAAAATCTAGAACATCAGTCTAGTTTCAAATTGAAACGAATAATCTTATTAACCTATCTGAACTTGCCCCGAAACGAAACTCGATGAACTTCTAATTTAACTCGATTGACAGAATCAAACTAGCAAGGAAACTGGTTGATATTCTACTATACTAAGAAAAATTGTTGACAAGTGGAATACATGAGAAAATTGTTTGAAGTTGCAAAACTGTTTTATCTATTTTGAATCCGGTTATCCAGTCCTCAATTAAATTTACATCAGGCACTAATTTCCATTAAGAGATCAAAGCGTATTAAGTTGATAAACAAATTTCTTAAGTAACGTTTACTTTGGCCCTAAGAGAAATTTTCAATCAAGAACCGTGAACATTTAGGGATCCTCAGAGTTTTTGTCCATTTTTGTCAAGAAAAGCCAAGACGCTCCACAATTTTCCGCATAAAAAAACAAACGCTATCATAAATTATTATCACGGTCTAATCAAACCATCAGGTCCAGCTTTGCGATCCAAGGAGTCTCGTCTAATGAGCCAATCAGGTAAATGAACAGAAAGTTAATACCGTTCATCCGTTTAGAAATCAAATGCAAGATAGCTCTTCCAAGCTCTAGGCAAAATGAATCGTATACAAAATGAAAATGAAAAACGTGAGTTCCTAATTTCTCAACTGAAAACACCAACAACTGTACGACACAAAATTTCTTGCTCCCATAACCTAACCTAACCAATCGAATTCGGCCATTTTTCGGTTGATAATCGAAAAATCAAGATTAAACTCGAAATAAAAGAAAAGATGATTTCGTCCAATAACAGATCAAAATCCCGTAAAAAGACCCACCAACGGATTCTCCACAATACGAAATATATTTTTTGGCCCAATAAACATCAAATCGACATTCTACATGGGAAAAAATCCAACGAATCGAAAATCCAAATCAAAACAAGAGAAGGAAGAAACAGATTTGCCAAAAACCAGAGCGTTCAAGTTCATACCTCGAAGTGCGAACGTCACACGAGCAATATTCCAATTGAAACGGAAGAACAAACACAATAAGATAAATAAAATTCCAATCTCACTATCGGAGTTCGAGCGAAAAATCGAGAACGAGGCCACTGAAAAGGGAAATTAAAATGAGGTGAAAAGAACAAATCGCAATCGTTTTGTCGACGTGCAAATGGGATGCATGGCTTTTCTTCTCCGATTTGGCGACCAACGTCGGTTGCTGACGTGGATGTGATTACGATTAGTTAATTGAAGTATTTGAGTGAATGGACGAAAACCCCCATACCTAATCTGTGTAGTAGGGGTCTTTTCGTCCTTTCCTATCGTCTTGTTGGTTTGATACTATAGTTATTGTGACTCAATAACTCCAAAAACTTAAATTATGAAATTTTAACTATAAAAATTAGGTCCAAATTACATTTTTTAAAATTGGGTTAGATTAAATTCTTTTTAAATGGTAAGTTACTCACAAGTTGAAAATTTTATTGTCATTGTCAGGTTTATCCGAAAAATAGAATTACGAGATTTTCAATGATATATTGTGATTTATAAATGTTTTAATATATAAAATAAAAGGTCGAGTTGTGTTTGTGAACCATGTTCGAGTCACCAATCCAACCAACCCAAAAATTTATGTTAGAAACAAAATTATAATTTAACTCGTGTTTGTATTATACCTTGAGAAAAAAAAAACTTTTTTAAAACGGCAACCAAAGAAAAAATGTAGGTAAATTTGTAAAATTACCACAACCTATTAATAAAATAACTATTTTATACATTTGTATATTATTTACATATCAAAATGTCAAATAACCGACCTTAGCTCAGTTGGTAGAGCGGAGGACTGTAGTTGTATTGTCAAGCTGTTATCCTTAGGTCGCTGGTTCGAATCCGGCAGGTCGGAATTTTTAACCTTTTGTTTTTAGAAATTTGATAAATTTATTTTTAATCATGATAAGACACAAAACCGACCTTAGCTCAGTTGTCATTCAATAATCCTTAGATGTTCGAATTTGGCAGGTTGGAATTTAATTAATTTCCCTTTTTCTTAATTATTTTAAATTCATTGCCCTCAAATTCAATTAATTTTTCCTTTTTCTTAATTTA